GGCTGGAGCACCAGAAGGGGAGTGTGTCTGGATGCCCAGTTCACGTATGTGTCTGGGGTGTGTGGGTTTGTGTGCCCAGCAAGCGTGCACTGCATGTATGTGTCTGTGTGTTTGTTATTTTTGTCTGTGCATGTCTGTGTATATCTAGTAGAGTCTATGTGACTGCTGTGGGCAGTGTGTATGTGTGTGTGTGATTTCAATCCAAACAAACAAAAAGGTAGATCGATAGTTTTTAGCTGCGTTGGTTCTAATGAATTGCAGGGCCTCCACTGTGTTCTGATCTTTAGGATCGTGGATGGGGGAGGGGAGGCACTATCTGCTGGCAGAGGCTCTCCCGTGAGTCTATGGGAGGGGGCTGCACTGGGAGCAGGGAGTAATTTATGTACATTTTCTCAGGCAGCAAAGACCATATGTTCTTTATTACAGTCTGAGCCCTGCAAGTGCTGGGCTGGCCTCACGCTGGAATCTGTTGTTAGGTGCTATGCAATTGTTTGTGACGCACACAGACCCTAGGCCCAAGAAAATCAAAATGCACCCCACCCCCGCCCCTGCCCCGAGCTATCCTTGGGATTATTATTCACTGTGAGCCCACTGGCCAACCCACCTTGCCAAGGGTCTTCATCTGTGCCTGTCACCTTGACCTTTATCGAGCATGATATCTTTTCCTCCAGAGGCTTGTCCTTCCTGAGATATATGCCCAGAGTACAGGAGACCAGGTCTGGCCATCCTCAGAGAGCATTCTGGGCGTACTTCTTCTAGCACACATGTGCTGATTCTTCTGGCCGTCCATGGCACGTCCGACAGTGGGCTGCCGAGAACCAGAGGGATTTCCATTGGCTGGATTTCAGAAGCCGGTCACCAGGCCTGTCCTGCTGGACTGTCTCATCCCGGAAGTTTGGTCCACAGCGGGTGAGCCTGCTGAGAACCTGAGACACGGTGGCCAACACCAGGAAGCCGCCCTGTGCAGCCGCAGTCAGGCCTTGGATTTTAGAGGCAAGCGGGGGAGTTTCCCCCACTTGGTATCAGACTTCTGAAAAGAAGGAAGTTTTGTTTTTTGTTTTTTTTCCCCAAGGTAAAATCCCACTGGTGGTTCACAGTTGCCACTTTTTGCGGCCCTTTGTGTAAACCCTGGAGAGGGGCTCAGTGGGGCACCGCCGAGTCCTTTGCTAAGCGGAGCTCAGACAGAGACCTGCGTGTTCCCTTCAGAATGGCAGAGCCGCAGGCACCCCAGTCCATCTGGGAGCGGGCTGACCCCCCCACACACACACCTTGTTGCCTCCCTGCCTGTCAGGGCAATGGGGGGACGTGCAGGCCACTGCCAGATTGATGACACCTAGCCTGCCGCCTGGAGGTTGGGAACCTCTCTCACTTGATTCCCAGCCAGCAGAGAAGCCAACCCTGTGAGCAGGGCTCCCGGGGAGAAGCGAGGGCCCCACGTTTCCACCTCTTCTGGAACCTTCTTCCAGATGAGGCTAATCCTGCAGGTCATGCTTGCCAGCCAGCGGAGTCTCCCCACCGCTGTTACCTTGGGGGTTCATTCTGGTGCCTCCAAAGGCCTGTTGGGGGCTGCTGAGCACTGGATGGTCTTTATGCCCTAAGGAGATGGTCCGGTGCCTGCCCAGAGTCCTCTAGCCCCCCCAGTCCCCACCCTATACATGTGCCCATCTCTGCTACCCGGCACGTTTCAGTTAGACTGTCAGAATTCATGGTGTCGTCATTCGGTGCCACTGAATCAGTTCTGACCCATTGCAACCCTGTGCACAACAGAATAAAACGCTGCCCGGTCCTGTGCCAGCCTCACAATTGTTCCTGTGCCTGAGCCCACTGTTGCCACCACTGTGTCCTTCCATCTTGTCGAGGGCCTTTCTCTGTTTGGCTGCCCCTCCGTTTTACCAAGCTGCATGCCCTGCGCCAGGGACTGGTCTCTCCTGGGGAATTCTTGCTAGGCGTCCTCTTTTCCCGTCCCATGCTCCTCGGCGCCCACGCCACGGCGCGCCAGGCCCTCACTTTCCATCCCCAAAGTGGTGGTGAAGTCAATTGCATAGCCCCGGAGGTGTACCCCACTCTTGAAAGTTCAGACCTGTGGGGGCCCCTCTTTTTCCATCTCCTCCAGTGCACCTCGGCTCCATCAGGGAGACCCTGTCCGGCCAGATCGTCAGGGAGTGCCCCCGACTTCCACCTGCAGCCACCTCCGTAACTCCTCACCTGTGCAGTGACATGCCTCATGTGCAGCGACACGGTGTCTGCTCGTCAAAGGAACCGCTGCCCTTACAACCCAAGCTGTGGACCACCTAGCTCTGTTCTCTAGCTCAATGATGAGGAGGTTTAGTTTCTGCTAAAAGCCATTGGATGTTTTATCACACCGTGCTTGGGCCGTGCTGGTCCAGCATGTTACGGACTCACCCCTGCGTGGGGCTTGGGGCTGATGATGTCCAGGGCTTTACAGACCTTCCCCGGCTGCTGGCACTGTGGTTTCCGGTGCCTCCGTGCCATACATAATGAGCGTCTCCTGCATGCCAGGCTCCCCGGGAGGACACCCAGACAGAGGCAGACAGAGCCCCTCACGTGTAGAGCTGAGTCCCATGTGCGGGGGCCCAGCCCATTCCGAGCCCAGCTCGGTGCCACCTCTTCCACGAAGCCTTCTTGATGTGTCTGTCTCTTTCTGCCTCTTCTCAACCTCACACAGGCTCTGTCTCCCCGTGCCGCAAACATGCAACATGATCTCAGCAAACACGTGAGGGGGTGGGGGTAGGGTGGGGGGGTGCCCCCTCCTTGAAGAGACTAGGATTTTGTCTCTTGTCCCAGCAGCAAGTGCGGGCTTGGCTCCATGAGTCATGGCCGGTAGCTAGCTGTGGTTGTGCAGACCCACAAAAAACAAATCTGACGGACACATTCCTCTGTGTCCACTCGGTTGTCACTACACCATGAGCCCCGGAAGTGAGGGAACATGCCTGTCTTACCTCCCCGTGGACCTCAGCCAGCAGCTGAGAAGGTCCGCAGCTGGTTTTAGAGATCTCGCCGCCTTCCTGCCTCTTCTTCTGGCACCTGAGGACACCTGGGCTCATGCCTGTCGGTGTGACCACATTTAATCACACTCACTTAAAAATCCCATGTCCATCCGTGGGAGGGAGGTGGTTATTCTTAGCCAGAGGGACGTAGTCTTTATCAAAGCCGGTCCCAAGGCCTCTTGAGAAACTAGACTTCAGGGAACGTGTGACCCTCCTGAAGAGGCATCGCCTGTTGGGGAAGATTATACCCTTTCCTGGCCTGCCCGCCGCGGTCTGGCGGAGGCCGGAGCACGGCAGCAGTCAGACTGCTCCCCTGCCGTCTGGCCCAGCGTCTGGAGTGCTCGTGGGAAAGGGATGCGTCCCTATGGGCACCTTCTCACCCGATGGCGGGGAATTAAACCCTGATAGTCTCCAATGCTGTGGAGACCAGGGGTCTCCTTTAGGGAATGATTTCAAAGATTCATTCTCATCTGCTTTCAGGACATCAAAATATTTACGATTAAAAAAATTGTTATCATTTTATCGGAGCTCTTACAGATAGCATAACAATCCGTAGTTCAATCACACCAAGCAGTGTTGTACGATCGCCACCACAGTCAGTCTCAAAACATTTTCCTTCTTCTTGAACGCCTTGGTATCAGCTCTTCTTTATCCCCTTCCCTCCTCCAACCTACCTCCCAGGAGCCCTTACCCCCCCCCCTAAAAAATTGTTTAATTAAACTTTTAAAAAGCAAATTAAAATTATTTCATTTTAAAAAAATGAAAGAAACCTCAAAAGAATTCTATAAAAATAAAATGAGAACTCTGATTAAAAAATATATATAATTAAGAAATTAATGAACTTAGTGAATGATTCTTTTCTCCTCTATCAACCTGCCATCCCCTGAAGTGTTCCATTCCACTTAGTTGTGGTGGAGCCAGAGTTGGGGCCTCAGCTGGGGGGGTGGGGGGGCCACTGTCTTCCTGTGGACAGGCAGCACCTCCACATGACCCTGGGGGTGTCGTGAGCATCTGCTGTTACCTGAAGTCATTTGTATCCACGGTTTTTCCCTTCACAAATCATCAGCCCAGGCAGGACTGGGTTTGACCTTTACAATCCGATGAGAAGATCCATTTGGATGTAGGAGGGGGCTTTTTAAAACGTTCCTGGTGAAATAAAATCAAAAGACAATGGAACTTACCCACTAGCCTTTTGAAGCCACTCAGTTTCCATACAAACTTTTCCTAATTTCCACCTCCTCCTATTCTTCTCTCTAAAATGTGTTGCTCTATTTTCATTTACTACCCTAAAAAAGTGACTGCACTGGGGCAGATAGTAGATGCAACATCTGCCCCAAGAAGCCCGCTGCCACTAGTGGGCCAGCGGCTTGGTCACCCAGTAAGCCATGAACCTAACTCTTTCCACAAAGTGACACAGCCCTCCTAGTGTGTGCTGCTTGTCCCAAAGTCCAGCCAGGTCAAAAGTGTGCCTTTACTTATGCAGTTCTGCTGCTGCACTTTTATTCCAACTGATGCACCGATCCGGCAGGATTTGGCTGGACCAGTGCGCCATTCCACGTTGCTGAAGACATTTCCTTTCCTTTCAGTGGTTCTTCCCTCGGTGCTAGTGCAGATCAAGAAATAGGCGAGATGGTCTTAAATTCCGTCTCGCAGTTCCTCAGCCGGATAGTGCACGATTGGGCGAGTCGTGAGCATTGTGAGCTGATCCAAGTGGTCGTGGAGAAACGTGCCTCTTGAGAAAGATCATCTCTAGCAATAGAACTCAAGTCTGGTAGACAGAGAGCGTGTGCGTGGTGATGTCTTAAGTGCCCGCCCAGGTCTTGTAGGCAGTCAGCAAAGCCCTCCGCCGCCCTGTCTGCACCCCATGCACACAGCGGGCGGGGTGCTGCTAAGGAACGCTGACTCAGTGGCGCCCTGGGAGTGCGGGCTCCCGCTCTGTTGTGGATCTGTGCAGTGTCCATGACAACCTCTGTCTCTTTCTCGTCCCCACAGACTCACTCTCTGTCTCCAGTAACGACGCCAGCCCCCCAGCATCTGTGGCATCCCTTCAGCCCCACATGATCGGGGCCCAAAGCTCGCCGGGCCCCAAGCGCCCAGGGAACACCCTGCGGAAGTGGCTCACGAGCCCCGTGCGGCGCCTCAGCAGCGGCAAGGCCGATGGGCACGTGAAGAAGCTGGCCCACAAGCACAAGAAGAGCCGGGACGTCCGCAAGAGCGCCGACGCGGGCTCGCAGAAAGACTCGGATGACAGTGCGGCCACACCGCAGGACGAGACCGTCGAGGAGGTGAGGGCCTGTGTGCATGCGGCTGAAAGACAAAGGCGAGACCCCTGCTCACCAGGGAGCCTCTGGAGACAAGCCTGGCCACAGCCCCGGAAGCCCAGAGTAGCAGTTCTTGGCAGCACATACGGGGCTGCCACAAGCTGGGACTCAACCCTGTGGCAGCTAACTAACCGATCATAAACTAATCTGGTTCAACTTTCCTCCTTGCCAGCTGCCACGGAGTCGATTCTGACTCCCACTGGTGGCCCGCGTGTCAGAACAGAACTGGGCTCCGAGGAGCTTTCAGGGTCTGATTTTTCCCCCCCCAGAAGTAGAATGCCAGGCCTTTTTTCCACGGCGCCTCTGGGTAGACCATTACCCGGAGTCTTCCATTACCAGCGGAACAGGTGAACCACGTGGCCACCCCGGGACTCCCCCCTACTGCGGCCTCGGGGTGTGTACTGTCTCTGTCGATGTACCTAGCCTGAGTTTCATATAAAGAAAGGCATTAAAAGGAAAACTCACAACAGTAACAAAACGAAGCCAATGAAAATCTCAATCCAGAAGAAAGCAGACAATAAGGAAAACTGGAACACATTTAAAGTGGGTCAAAAGAGAGAACAAATGACGAGGTGTTAAATTTTAACCTAACTCCACCCGCACTAGTTGACATCCAATGCGCTCCGTCTGAGGGCTAGGCTGGTCACATGCCTGGTCCATGGTCACAGGGCATTCACCCGAGGCTGAATCCAAGCGGGGACTCTGGAAACAGATTGTGAGCTTTCACTGTCATCCATGACTTCTGCACCCGAGAGCTCAGAACGTAAGCTCTAATACAGTTCCCTCCTCTGGCCTTGGATTTTTTCATTTACAAGCCTTGGATCGTACAAGCTGGTGTGCTTCCTTCCGTGTGAGTTTAGCTGACACCTTATTTAATTGGCTGCTTATGGCCTTAGTTTAAATTACATGATATTCTATACTGACCCAGAAATCGTAAGAATCACATGTAACCATTAAGTTCTCTCTGCCTTACAGACAGACAAGTGAAATCGCTACTCCTGTGTAAGCATGGATGAAACCCACCCACTTGCAACTTCTCATAAGGAAGTACAACTTCAAGCTTTTCTACAGACGTGTGGCTAAGGCCCTAAAACATAGGTTCCCAAACTTATTTGTCCTACCACCCCCTTTAAAGAAAAATTACTCAGTGCTCCCCCCAACCCCGACACGTCAGTCTTTTGTACTCTAGCCCCTAATCCAGGAGCGAGTGTAGGTATCTGCTGTGCAGGCCATCTGGATCTTTGCAGCGCCCTCAGGGGGTGTTCTCCTCAACTTTGGGAAACATTGCTTTGGGAGAACTCGGGTGCTGACTGACTGCAGCCCCACTGGCCTTCACCCGCTCCACACAGACCCGGGTGCCACTCTGAGTGGCTAAGTCAGCAGGGAAACAACAGGAAGGTTTGTGGAATGTTTGCATTTCCACATTTAATTCCCCACCCCCATCGGAGTCAACGCCATAGCCATGAGTTGTAAGTCTCCTTAATGGAAACAAAGCTGAAACTGTTTCTCTAAAGTAGACAATTCATGTGTTCAGAGTCCCAAAATGCATTTTAGGTGGTAGATTGTGCCCTGGTGCTGCTCTCAGACAAAGAGCCAAAAGTAAAATGAATAGTCCCGGTGGATAAGATTAGCAGTTTGGATCTCTGGGACTTTTTTTTTTGGTGGGAGGGGGTGACTGGCTGGTTGACCATGAGCCTGTGGTCAGACCTTCAGGGATGATGTTGGTTGGCCGTCCACAGAGAAGCCCTTCTCTCATCCAAGGCAGGGAATGAAGTTTCTCATGTGTTCCCGGTGGCCTCTGCCCTCTCCACTGCTGCCCTTGCTGCTGTGTCTCAGCTAGCCAGGAGAGTTTGGGGCCCAATAGCAGAAGACCACATGGCCTGGCCCTCCGCCGCTGCCCCCGAGCATAATGTCTCCACCCAGATTGTAACGTGCACACGCTGGTTTGGTTTCAGAGGGGCCGGAACGAGGGTCTGAGCAGCGGCACCCTGTCCAAGTCCTCCTCCTCCGGAATGCAGAGCTGTGGGGAAGAGGAAGGAGAGGAGGGGGCTGACGCCGTGCCCCTGCCCCCACCCATGGCCATCCAGCAGCACAGCCTCCTCCAGTCGGACTCGCAGGACGACAAGGTAAGGGTCTGACCGCACCAGCCCAGCTGTGGGAGCCCATGGCTCCTTGCCTCTGAAACACGGAGCTTTCCAGGCAGACGAGGCCCCCTGTACCCACAGGAGTGGCTGACTGGGTCCACGTAGGATGAGCATTGTCCTATAGGTGGGTGTGTGGCAGTGTCTGTACGCCCACCCCTCTGATGACCCTTCCGCAGTGGCTGATCTAGAAGGGATTCCCCTTTTTCTGCACCCATGGAGGATAGTCTGTGAGAACAGCCAGAGCCATGCTGAGCAGGCTGCTGGCAACGGCTGCCATGTGGGCACTCGGCCTGGGTCCTCTCTGGGGTGTTTGTTTGGCTCACGGGCTGCCCGAGTCCGGAGAAGCAGTGTGCACACGCCAGGGAGAGTTACGGGCATATAGGAACCGCTTGAGAGCCACGAGTCTTCCCGTTGGATAAACGCAAAGGCTTTAAGCCAAGGAAGTATTTTCCTCTGGAGCCCTTTCATGGCCCACGGGGATCTTGGCCATCCCCCCTGCAGGACCCCAAGTCCAGAGTCACACGAGGGAACCTGATCCGTGCAGCTCGCCCACCCTTCCTGAGAGCGGCCCGCCCGTGGCGCTCCTCCGAATTGTCAGATGTTGAAAGCCCGGCTATGAAGTCATGCCTGCTTTAGGGTTGACCTGCCTTTGGCAGAAACGCAGTTTTCTGAATTAAGCAGATGGTTTCCAGTTTCCCTCTTCCTTTCTCAGCCCTCCCCAACCTTTCTCCCTGTTCTCCACGTATGTGCTCAAGTGGGCGCTGGCTGTGGTTTGCCTGTGTGTCTGACCCAGACGCTGTTTGTAACTCCCCCACTAGTGGCCGCCGTGAGGCCTGGTCCGGCATTGATTTATCCGGAAGCAGATGTCCCTCAGCCCTTCTCCCCCTCCCTAGGTTAGTTGTGGCCCGAGAGGGCTGGGCCTGGCGGGGAGGGCAGGGGGCTGTGTACTGCAGGAGCCGAAGGGGAGGGCCTGGGGGAGAACGAACGAACCCGCGGCTACACCAGCAGCCCCTGCGCACCCGAGTGCTGTGCCGGGCACTCCTGTCTCAAAGGGGAAAAGAGACACGTCTGGATGTGGGTGGCCGTTCACCACGTAAGAGAAGGGCTCTTCTTCCTCCCCAAGAGGGGTGAGCCGCCATGGCCTGCCCCGCGGGCGGTCCGTCTCGCCACGCAGGGTTACCCGGAGTACAGTAGTTCTTCACATAAGATCTGTAGTGATGTCCCAGGCGGGTGCTGATCTCGTGACTAATTTTCCATTCTGTTCTGTTTTCTCTTTCTGTAAACGTTCACTGCAGCATTATGTTGACTTGTGTTCCATGGCTGTGTCTGTTCTGGCTCCATTTCCTTACCTTTCCATCTGACTTTTTTGTTGTAATGATCATTATTTATTATTAGTTTGGGGGGTTTTTTGGTCGTTCCCTCACCCGGTCGTTTTCTCCCCTGCATTCCACACTCCCCCCACCCCCCCACCCCCCACGGCCAGCCACACCCACATCTGTCTGGGGCGCGCACACTCTGCCCCGCGCGTGTGAAAGCCCCGTGGTACGTGTGCAGACCTGCGTGTCACGCGTGTGGGAACTGCGTCGCCAGGACAGCTGGCCCTTGTCGCATGCCCCTCTGCTGTCCTTAGACCCGAATATGAACCAAGGCTCATATTACACCCCCTCCTCCAGTTTCCAGTCTCCTGACACAGTGCGAGTAATCTGCAAATGCACCCCGTTTGCGCATTACTGAGGCTTTGATCCAGGGCCCCTCCCCCAGCCCTGTTCCTGCTGACCCCTAAAGGCCTGAGGTGGCATCTGGTGGTGGCTTGTGAGGGCGCAGACCTCCTGTACCCTGCTCTAATCTTGGGGAAGTGGATGGCACAGGAAATGGTGAGCTCGCCCCCCCCCCCCAACACTCCTCCCTGTCTGCTAGGTGCACCCCGGCTCCCAGCCTCCCTTTCATCCCTGGACCTTTTCTTGCCCTCGGAGGCACCCACCGTTAGGCCTGGTTTTCATCGCACTGTTGTTGTGCCTCCTTAAGTCTGGAGGGATTCAAGCTCGAAGCCGGAGTCTGTCGTTCTGCGGGTCATCAGACTAATGTTCCCCACTCCTTCCCAGAGGCAAGAGCTACAGCTAGAGCAGGCCCCCACTCAGCCCCCTCTGACCGCCGCGGTGATGTGGCAGCACGCAGCCAGAATGCGCCCCTCCAGCCCCGCTGAGAGCCCTGGTACTGTGACAGGGCTGAAGATTCAAAACAGACTGGGTCTGCTCTCCACGGGTGCCCAGCGCAGGTCTTACTTAACTCCTCCTGTCAGAATATTGTAAACTATTTTTAAAAGATGACTTGAAATAAATGCAAACAAAGACAAACCTGTGGTCTTTCTTGTCTGGAACTGCTTTTTAAAAAGAGCTCGGGCTCGCAGGAGCGTGCGGGTCTGTCCGTCTGTCTGCCTACTAACACGAGGCCTCCCCCCACTCCCTTCTCTTTCTGACCTTCTTCCTCAGGGCTCTTCCCGGTTGCTAGTTCGCCCCACCAGCTCCGAAACGCCGAGCGCCGCCGAGCTCGTCAGTGCGATCGAGGAACTGGTGAAAAGCAAGATGGTAAGGCTCCCACAACAGAGTGGCTCTATGGCCGGAAGCCACGCTCATGCCCTGCCCTCGTCTCTGTGCGGCTGGGGCACACGGCCCGCAGCCCTGCCTGCCATAGGGCGTACGTGACTGGTTCCGCTCTTGCATGACGATGGGCCAGGCGCCCTCAGATAGGTCTCCAGAGTCCTCCTGCTGCTTCCAGAACCGCTCGTTCAGGTGCACAGGGGCAGAGATGGGTCTGCATTGCTCGGTTTTCCTAGTGAACCCGCGCCGCCTGTTGGTCAAGTTGGATTCCTTTGATGAAGTGCCCCGTGCCAAAGCTTGTTTCTTGGGGGTTGTACAGGCACGGGGTGCTTCTAACCAAATCACACCAGTTGGTGTTTCAGCATCCCGTTCTCTTTTCCGGGGGACATGGAAAGTTACTAATGGAGATAACTTCTTTGACCAGGCACTGGCCATGTTTCAAGTCACTCACCCACCCCTGCCCCATGGGAAAAGCCTTCAGCCTCTCCCACCAAGCTGTTCTCTTTGTACAAGCATGCACCCTGCTTTTTCTTTCGGGGTGGATGCATCCCTCTTTTAAAATTTTTAAAACATAATGTATTTTGAAGAAAGTCGCACCTCAGTTCATTCAAATGTTCGTCTTCATTCTTGTTGCTATCTAGTCAGTGCTGACTGTGCTATGCGGGGTTCTCTAGAGAAACAAAATTATTCCACACAGCAGTACAGAGGGCTCAGTTCAATATACTAGAGTTCAACTCACAAAGGCTGCCGGGTTCAAGGTCAAGGAAACAGACAGCTGAGTCTTCCCTAGCGCAATGCAGGCAGCAAACAGCAGGGCGGGTCAGGAGCTTAGCAAAGCAGGCCTGGATGGGGTATCTAACTCAAGCAATGTAAGATGACAGCACCCACCAGTTTCAAACTTAAGTGATGGATACACCAGCAGCGTAGCAAAGCAGGTCTCAACGGAACCTCAAGCTCTAGCGACACAATCCACAGGTTGGCTGTCCCACAGGTAGTGTAGCTCATAAGTTGAGGCAGAGAAGTAGCTAAAGCAGCCACACGCTGGCAGATCACCAGAGAGCAAGAGAGTGGCAGGCTTTGCCGAGCCATTTATCTCTTTGCCCTCCAATCAAACTGCCACCTGGTTAATCCCACAATTTCCTATTGGCCAGGTTGGCACAAAAAACCTATCTATCACCCTGTGGCTTTCTGAGACTGTAACTGTTTACAGGAGTAGAAAGACCCAGCTGTCTCCCTCAGAGCTGCTGGTGGTTTTTAACTGTTGACCATACGAAATTGAAACCCTATGCTCAACCACTATACCACCAGAGCTCCATACCTTCTTCATTAGCTGTATAAAATTACATTATATAAATGCAATAATAATAATACCAGGTGCCATTATAAGTGCTGAGCGTATGTTAATTTACATACTCCTCAAAACCCTAAGAGGTGAAACTGTCAGCCACATTTTGCAGATGCAGAAACCAAGGCACATGTAAAGCGTAAAGACAAGATCAGCAAAGTCATAATGACACTGCTTGAATATTTGGATATTATTTCCATCCCTCCCTGGCGGTACACATTTGAGCGTCTAGCTTTTCACTGCCGTGAACATCCACGTTCATCGCATGTACCTACCTGTACCTACAGTGTACATCCCCAAGATTGGCACCGCTGGGGTCGACTCCTCATCATTAGGAGTTTGCTTTCTTTAGTCAGCATCAAACTGGCACCCGGAATATCCTACCCTCCCCCTCTCTTCTCTTTTTCCCTTCTCCCACCCAGAAGCAGCTTCAGTGAAGCTAGGTACTGGGACAAGGGGGACTTACAGAAAGGAACCTCAAGAGCACACGACACCTGCCAGAGCCACACAGTCACTCCGGTTCTGGAAAAGCCCGGATGGGCTCTGAGTGAGGTGGGGTGATTGCTAGGCCTGGGTAGTTACAGGGACCTCAGGCTGCATGGCTGAAGAATTAGGAATTATCCTCCCCAGGACTGAGAGACGAGCCTGCTAGCAAAGGGCGTTCGACTGGTATCTTCTCCGTCTTCAGCACTGTCCGCACCTCCCAGAAACCATGTATATGTACCTCGATTCAGTGCTCGTTAAAATGCTTACCTAATAACTGGAATAGCCTTCCCAAGAAATTGTGTGAGGCAATATTTATTAACCCTCTACTCGTTGGTCCCCTGAGTATTTAAAGCACTTTCTGTTCTAAGTGGACCCAGTTTCATTGACAACTCAGTCATGCAGACTTCCCCCGGACGGCGAGGAGGTCTACGGCCCGGTGCCTTTCAGCTTTGACTGGCTTGTTCCCACTGCTTTTCCACTTTCGAGCACTTAAACTTTATCAGTTGAAGCTAAGTTATTTCTATTCACATAATGTCTCTTTCGAAGCAAAGAGCCAGTAGCAGCATGGGGGAAAGCTTAAGTTTGGGAGTTCTAGAGGACTGGGGTTCAAACCTCCTACTTAGTGTTGAGGGACACTGGGCAAGGCTTTGTCCTCTCCAAATCTACGTCTTTCTGCTGTAAGCTGGGGTCATAAAGTGCAAGTTTTAAAGCAGGTCAAAAGACCCCATTGTGTAGGCATTTACTAATGCCCCAACATGCCCTGTGGAGAGCCTTATTCCCCTTCACTCTGCCATGAAATAGAACTAAAACCTGCCCTCTTTCTCTGCTCCAAGAGAAACACAACCCGTGTGTTGACACCCTGTCACTAACTCTCTGATGTCCCTGGGAACGACTTGGTGTTCGTGTGAACTGATCATTCGGATCCCTGCAACCTACCCTGCACCCATGACTGAGTGCCTCATGCGTGTACTGCCACCTCTGTAGCTCCTTGCCCATCGCATTCGGGTTCTTGTGGGTGATCTGAGGCTGCCCACCGCCATCGTTGGGTTTGAACTCTGAATTACTTCTCCGTCAGAAGCTGTGTACTTATTCACTGGATCAGGGAGGAAAGGAGAGGCAGTGTTCATTTGTCACACAGTAGAATGATCATGCTGGTGAAACAGAGAGAGGGTCCCCGAAAGAGAAGGACCCTCGATGAGATAGGTTGACACAGTGGCTGCAACAATGGGCTCAACCTTTTCAGTAATTGTGGAGATGGCCGGACCGAGTGGTGTTTCATGCTGCCGACCTGGGGTCCATATGGGGTCCATATGATCGGGAACCCCCTCGATGGCACCAAACAACAACAAAACTGTGGTGTCCAAGGACCCTGAACCTAGATGGGGTTCCACCTAGTCCATTAAGGCCCCTCCACAGCCTTGGTCCAGCCCAGGCTTTGCAGAGCGGCCCAGTGTTGGCAGGCAGGTGTGCACTGTGTCTTTCTGAGCGTGACTTTGGGAGTGTCTGCCCTTTGTCAGCTGAAATGTTAGGGAGATGCAGGGACCCAAAGACGTGCCGTGGGCTCCTTCACTGAAGACACCAGAAGAGCAACCAAACAAACCAAGGGAAAGCAGACAGGCGCCTCCTGTAGCTAAAGAAATTAATGTGTGGAAACAGAAAAGTGGTGGAGTAATACAGTAAAAACCTGCTCTTCTGGGGCAGGGGGGCGGGGGGCAGGGTGGCATAGGCATTTAGATAACTTTCTCAAGAAAATAGAGGGAAGCTTAAAGCTCAACAACCAAAAAAAAAGAAAACACAACCTGATTAAAGCACAGCCAAAGAACCCAAGCCAGCATTTGTCCAAAGCAGATAATGCAAGCGATGACCTCCCAGGAGAGCTGCTCCCCATCACTGATCATGGGGGAAGTGCAGCTCAACCCACGGTGGATCCTGCCTTCTCCCCACAGAGATGGCCCTTTAAAAGCAAACATCAGCAAGAGCAAAGGAGCCATCCATTGTTGGGCCATGTGTTAGTCTGGGTAGAGTAGAGAAACAATTCCAGGGATACTCGTGTGTATAAGAAAGAGCTTTATATACAAGAGCAATTGAATATTGAGAAAACAGTGCAGTCCAGATCAAGTCCATAAGTCTGATATTAGCCCATATGTCCGATACCAATCTATAACGTCCTCTTCAATCTATAACGTCCTCTTCAGACTCACGAAACACATGCAATGACGCCGAATGCAGAATGCTCACAGACCAGTGGGTGGAAAGTCTTGTGGATCCAGTGGCGGTATAAGCATCTCAGTGCTGGCAGGGGTCTCCACTTGGCTTCTTCAGCTCCAGGGCTCTAACGTAGCTCCGTGTCTCTTGTCAGCTGGAATGCCTCCCAGGGAATGAGCCAGCATCCTTCCTCCAGTGAGCTATTTATCTCCTTAGTGCCTCCAGAAGGTCATCAAGCTGCAACCTGATTGACAGGCTAAACTCCAACCCTTTACTCTTATGACTCTTGAATTGACAACAGATGATGTAAGGACCACAGGGCAGTAGTGTGAAATGCACACAACCATGGTGGGAAAGTGCTGGTGGCTCCTCAAAAGTTAAACGCAGAATTGCCAGTTAGGTTGTCGGGCCTTGGAGTTGGTTCTGACTCATAGCACCCTCACGCGCAACACCTCCCAGCCCCGCCACCCTCACAGTACTCTCAGGTGTGAGCCGATCAATGCAGCCACTGCCGGTACACTTCATCCAAGGTCTTCCTCTTGCTGCTGGCACACTACTTTACCAAGCAAGGTGTCCTTCTCCAGGGACTGGTCTCTCCTGACGACATGTCCGAAGTACATGTTGGCGTTAAGGAGCATTCTGGCTGGACTTCTTCCAGGACAGATTTGTTGGTTCATTTGACAGTCCGTGGTGCTTTCAGTTACCAGGTGACTCAGCAATTGCACTCCTAGATAGGCCCCCAAAAGAATTGAAAACAGATACTGAATGTTTCACAGCCGCCTTATATCCAACCCAAACGTCCATCCGCGGATGAGTGGGTAAATCCAGTGGGGTCAAGACAAGGGGCTGATGAAAGTTGACAGTGGAGCCCATTGTGGTCACCACTGTTTCCCTGCACATCTAGACAGGCGAGCGCAAGCATCCTCCCGCTTCCTCCCTGTCAGTTCCCGTCAAAGGTTCACCTGTAGAAGACATGGCTTCCTGGTCCAGGCCACTCTCTAGCTATGTGAATGGGGCTCATTTTGAATCTGGCTCAGTTTCTCTATGTACTCACTTAAGCACCTTTTGTTCTTCATAAACAAGAGCAGCAGGTAGCACATTTTGACAGCTCTGGTGTTTTTCCTCAGCAAGATTGAATTGCTATGTCATAAAGGCAGGTCCCAAATACCCTTGGTGGCATAGTGGACTGCATTGGATTGCTCACCACAAGGCCAGTAGTTCAAAACCACCAGCTGCTCCTCAGGAAACCTTTACTCCCAGAAAGGTTTATGGTCCCGGAAACCCACGGGGGCAGTTGTGTTAGGCCCTATTGAGTCACTGTGAATCGGCAGAGTTTTTCAAGACAGGTCCCACCTCTTACTACTGAGTGGGAAACAGGGCAGGTTTTTTAATTTGCTACAGTGTTAAGTGGGCTCGCCATTTGTGTGTGGTTTCCTTCCATTTCCCAGTTCACTCAGCAGGGAGACACTGTGTCCATCTGCACTAGGAGCCGGAGCCAACTTGCAGGTACCTGACAACAACTGGACTATAAACCAAGAAGGGTGCCGTCCAAACCCACCCCCCACTTCGCAGGAGAAAGATGAGGGGGCAGGGGGCTGCTTCCTAAAGACGCCCGCTCTTGGAAACCCTACAGGGCGACAGGTCACTCCCTGCCGGTCAAAATCAGTTCAGCAGCAGGAGCTTGGTGTTTGGGGTCTACCTCCAGGAGCTTTTCAGACCCGAGGAAAGACACAAAAGAAACAGTGTAGCAGATGGAAAGCAGTCCCTACCCCTTGTCCTCTTGTGCATCCAGAGAAAGGGTGGCCAGTCTTGGTCTCCTGGGTTGATGGAATACAGCCAAACTTTGTGGTGGAATCCCCAGATTCTGAAACTCCCGCAGGGCAAGCGTTTCGGAGAAGAAACAGGCAGAGTCTTGACATCGTGCCCCCACGCAAGGGACAGAAGGCCTTTCCAGGGGTAGAGATGTGTGTGAGCTGGGTGGCGTGTGCACACTGAAGTGTGACCAGGGGCTTCCTGGGCAATCGAGGAACAAGCCATGTTCATTGCTGCTGAAACACAGACTGCCCGTGTTGCTGTGAGCACCACACACTGCAGGAAGCTAAGCTGGGCAGGGAGCACCCCACTGTTCCCCAACAGCGTGCTTTAGCAGTGTAACGCAGAGAAGAGCAGCTGGTCCTACAGCCCAGGATCGTGGCCTGCAAATGATGTCATGAAGGGGGTGCAGTGCTCTGACGGGTCACACTGTGGTCGATTCCTCGTGGCTCGGCACAAACAAGCAGAACGCCCCCGTCCCTCTCACGCGCCATCCTCGGCCAGCTCCTCGGGCCCTGCGTGTCCTGGGTGCATGCGTGTTCCCGTGCCATGAAGTCCCTGATCTCAGAGCAGCTCCTCTGTGTTCCGGCTGGGCAGCGCCAGCGGTGGGCAGTGAGCAGAGCTGACGGCCAGCTTCTCTTCCAGGCGCTGGAGGACCGGCCCAGCTCACTCCTGGTCGACCAAGGAGACAGCAGCAGCCCCTCGTTCAACCCCTCTGACAACTCCCTGCTCTCCTCCTCCTCGCCCATCGACGAGATGGAGGAGAAGAAGTCTAGCTCTCTGAAGAGACGGCAGTAAGTAGGAACCCAGTCGGTGGCACGCTCCCTCCTGCCTCGGTCGCCCGTAGAACTGGCACCGGGCGTCTGGTGTGATGGGCACCGTGGGGGGTGAGGAGGAGTCTTCTGTTTAGTGGGAGTGTGTCCCCATGCAAGTATGTGTACATAAGTGCATGTGTATATATGTGAGTACCTGGGCACTAGTGTTTGTGCCTGAGTGTGTTCAGGTGAGTTTGTATATACTGCATGTGCATGTATATGTGCAGTTGTGCATTGTTTGTTAGTGCAATTGTGCATGTATGAGTCCATGCATGCATGCCTGGGTGGGCTCGTGTGTGCATGTGAGTGGGTGTGTGCGAGAATGTCTGGGCGTACAGCAGTGGAGACCCCCTAAGAGCCCAGTGGGCTGCAGCTATTTGCTGTTTTATTTCTGAACAAACATGGCAGAAGGCGAGTGGGCCTAGCGTGGCTGCTGGTTAGAAGCTGCTAGGTTTCTGTGGTGTGTGCAGTCGTGAGGAGAAAGAAGGCAGCATCCCAAAACCACTTAACAAGCCTGCTCTAGGGTCCTGTTTTCGGTTCCCAAAAGCAGCGGAGGGGACAGCCGTACTTGGCCACGCGTAGCGAGGGGGCTTCAGCTTCAGCTTGCAGGCTGGTTCTAGGCCTTGTGAGGCTGGGGCCTTTGTTCCATTCACTGCTGTATCCACGGTGCCCTGTCCTGGCATCGAAACGGTTAAGCTGCTCCCCGGAAGGTCGGCAGTTCTAACCCACCCAGCAGTTCCGAGGCAGAAAGATGCGGCAGGTTGCTCCCAATTGCAGCTTAAGAAATCTGAAAGGGCCGTCCTCTGTCTGGCAAAGCCAGACTTGAACTTCCCCTTGCTGTCTGTGCAGTGGGTCTAGGCCTGCCCAGGTGAGTGCCCTGGCTGTGAGCCCAAGCCTGGCAGGGTGGGTGCCCCCCGGTGGCCCTGGTCTGCAGGTATCCAGTGTAGGGTGCCTCCTCCCTCTCCAGGGTTCCTGTGAGTGAAGCAGGGCCCTCAAGCATTTAAGGCCCACTTGTGCAAGGCAAGGCAGAGGGATTCATGTCCAGCCCCAGCACGGGCCTGTCCCGACAGCAGCAATACCCCCCCACACACAGAATCTGCGTGGTAACGGTCATTTTCTCCGTTTCCAGCTATGTTCTACAAGAATTAGTGGAGACAGAGCGGGACTATGTCCGGGACCTCGGCTGCGTGGTTGAGGTATGTCCTTTCAGAGACGAGGTGGCTTTTTTCACAGCCCTGAGAGCCGTCCAAAGAGGTGGAAGTGGCACAGCTTAGCACCAGTCAGTGCCGTCTTGAAAACTTTGGGTGGGGAAAACAAACATTGATCCGGAGAAGAGAAGCCAGGTGTCTGAAAAGCAGCATGTAGGGATAGTGTATTCAAGTTAAATGTTGGGTTTTTCTTTTGACTTTTGCTGGGCACATCTGAGATGGTCATTTTCTATTACAATTGGGTTTTCTAAATTATGAGTCAACTCTTGTATTTATGTCATCAGCACTTGCCTTTAGCTACTACTCCATTTGGTGGATTTCACCACGAAACAGAAGGTTTGGGTTGAAGAGAGGCGTGTGGCCCAGGTGTGGGCTCCCTGCCCGAGTCCTCAGCCGTGCTCGGAGCGTGGCCGGGACTTCCCCAGGCGCTTCACTCAGAGCTCTGGGCAGAGTTCCACTGGCTCAGAGCAGTGTGCACTCTGCGGCCTGCATCGGCTTGCCCGTTTACGTTCAAGCTGTAGCCGCACTGCGACGCTCAAGCCTTTACAAAGTAGCATTACTTTACAAAATGTCGTTTATTCTTTGGGCTCTTAAAATACATACACAAGGTGCATCCTCCAGAAGAAGTATGGCTAACAGTCCGTTGTGTCACACACGGGTGGATGCCTGCTTTGTCTGCCGTTGTTGTAAGCACTAAGAGAGTAACGGAGGTTCTTACACAAACCCAACCCCACGGTTTACACAGAAGTTTGAACCACATTTTAAGCAACTGTGTAACCCATCATTATTAAAACTTCTATTTTACTTTACTTTTATTTCTAAGTTCAGTCCTTATTTAACCGGTTGAGTAAATAAATCTGAAGTGGCGGGCAGTCTGTCTGTATATTGAGATGAGTACTGAAACAGAGGACATGCGTTACGGCCGAACACTTACTGTTTCCAAGTTGCTGGAAGGGTGCTGGTTATCCTGGTCTATGGGTCTCAGGAGTTCAAGAGGAGAAGATGACGAGGCTGAATGCAGCCCTGGTGGCAAAGTGGTTACCTGTTGCACTGAGAACTGCAAAGTCATTAGGTTCAAAACCACCAGCCGCTCCAGCAGAGAAAGATTGACAGCTCCCGTAAAATATGGCAGCCTCTGAAACCTGCCAGCAGGCAGTAGTACTCTGCCCGATAGGGTTGCTGTGAGTTGGAATCAATTTAATGTCAATGAGTTTTGAGAAGTCTTGATTTTTCCCCAAAGGGAACGGGTTATAAGACACTGTGAGGGGCTGCTTTGCCCGTTTGTCTGTTCCTAAGCCGAGGGGGGGGAAGCGTGTAGTCAAACCTGCAGTAAGCTAACCCCAGGTGGCTCTGCACTCACAGGGCTACATGGCACTCATGAAAGAAGACGGTGTTCCCGATGACATGAAAGGAAAGGACAAGATTGTGTTCGGCAACATCCACCAGATTTACGACTGGCACAGAGAGTACGTACAGCACACTGCACGGCCC